ACTGTTACGGAATTATTTACCGTACAAAGGTTTTGGTGAACGTAACTATTACGGAATTATTAACTGTACAAAAGTTCTGGTGAACGTAACTATTACGGAATTATTAACTGTACAAAGGTTCTGGTGAACGTAACTGTTACGGAATTATTAACTGTACAAAGGTTCTGGTGAACGTAACTATTACGGAATTATTAACCGTACAAAGGTTTTAGTGAACGTAACTATTACGGAATTATTAACCGTACAAAGGTTTTAGTGAATGCAATTATCAATGAGTTTTTTTACAAAACAAAACTAAAACAGATAATTATGTTTATTACATAAAATAATTCGTCTCTAGCATTTTTCTCTTAGGTTCTATTTTTAGGTCTTATGATCTTTTTTTTTACCGTTGGTTAGGTTCAAATTCTGAGGGGGACATCATTATTTTGGACATTTTTAACACCTGATCACAAAACAGTAATAACTGGTTACCTGAGTAGGTAGAACAATCAAAGCGACACATATCATCACCACCATGAACAGCTGTGATGGATAGTTGTCAGGCCTGTAGTCTCCATAGCCCACGGTTGAGAAGGTCACGACAACAAAATACAAACTCTCAAACATATTGACGTGCAGGCTACCGGCCCTTTGAAAATGGTGATAGCCGCAGACGCTGAAAAAAAAAACACGTGAAGGGCTGATTGTTAATCTGTAATCCTACTTGGTCTGTGAAAAAAAAAAACAACATACGAAACTGTAAAGGGAATTATGTCCTCAATTTCTATGAAAGATGAGGCCAGTTAGTAGAGATGCAAGTATATCATCATACTTGTGGTATACGGGTTACTCCCGCCTTGTACTGGCATTACGTATTGGTATTGTTACGCTTGGACTAATAACGCCAACGACATGAAACATTACAAAATCTTGGTGCTATATCGGGCGAATTTGTTAACTAAGGAACAGTGGACCTTGCAATGAAACCGTCAATAATTAAACACACTACTCAAGGGTTAGTCGGTGTTTTCTCAATTATATTGTTCAATCGTCTCTTTTTGGCGTCCTGGCACGTTTCACTATCAATCTGTAAACCGGCCTGGCACGTTTCACTATCAATCTGTAAACCGTCCTGGCACGTTTCACTATCAATCTGTAAACCGGCCTGGCACGTTTCACTGTCAATCTGTAAACCGGCCTGGCACGTTTCACTATCAATCTGTAAACCGGCCTGTCACGTTTCACTATCAATCTGTAAACCGGCCTGGCACGTTTCACTATCAATCTGTAAACCGGCCTGGCACGTTTCACTATCAATCTGTAAACCGGCCTGGCATGGCCTGGTGGTAAGGAAACTTG